CCCCCCCCCCCACGAGTCTGTTCATATTCGTTGGTTTAGTGTGTTTGTCCAGGTGTTTGAATCTCTGACCCATGAACCTAGACTTTAGAGACCCTGTGACCTTTTGTTTTAGTGTATTTGACCCCTCGCAGCACACCTTCCCCTCCTGGGCATTGTGATGTTTCTTTTGTTCAGCAGAACGAAGATCAAAAAGTTTTTAAGTATAAAAACATACATTTATACATTCCACACACAATATTTCGCAGAAATGACAAATTAATAATATGGTTAATGTGTGTTTCTTCAACTTCAGACATATTGTCACTGGAGTTTATTGATATGTACTTTTGCTACTTTTCAAATATTCGTTTTTATGTACACACTATACTGTTCAAAAGTTTGTGGTCAATAAGGTTTTTTAAATGTTTTTGAAAAGAGTCTTTTATGCTCACCAAAGCTGCATTTATTTGATAAAAAAACTGTAATATTGTGAAATATTATTGCAAATTAAAATAACTGTGTTATATTTGAATATATTTGAATATATAATTTATTCCTGTGATGCAAAGCTGAATTTTCAGCATCATTACTCCAGTCTTCAGTGTCACATGATCCTTCAGAAATCATATTAATATGCTGATTTGCTGCTCATTTTTATCAATGTTGAAAACAGTTGTGCTTCATATTTTTGTAAAAACTGTAATAGATTTTATTTTTCAGGGCTCTATGATGAATAGAAAGTTAAAATGAACAGCATTTGTTTGAAATTGAAATCTTTATAAATGTCTTTTATATAACGCATCCTTGTGAATTTTTTTATTTTTTTTATCGTACAGACCCCAAACTTTTGAATAGTAGTGTAGATTTAATTGTTTTTCTCCTTGTCCTAAACCCAGATGTTCGGTCTTAAAAATATAAAAATCCATGTTAAAAACATTACATTTTTCGAACCAATAATCTAAACAAAAATAAAGCAATCATAAATCATTTACATTTTTATGATGTGAAAATTATTTATATATTTTGATACACAAATTGCGATTATCCAACAGTTGTGCCATCATTTCCTCCAAAACCAAAAGGTTTTGATGAAACACCCAGATATATGTTTGATTCAGACTTAGCAGATGCTGTTTTATGAAATAAACTGAAATGTTTTTTTCTGGATCTGCATGTGTTTGCAGCTGCTGTGAATGACATGAAAAAACTCTTTTGCCCAATCATACTAGGATTTACATGTTGGATCCTGATGAAAGATGTAGCCCTGTCCCATGTCTCTGTTATGTCATGTCTCCACAGACAAACCACTCTAGCCGTGTATGTGATGTCGCTTGTGGGTTTGGTGCTTTATGCTTTTACCTTGGATCTGGGTCACCTGTGGGTGGTCTTCATCACAGCAGGAACCCTCGGGTACTACAAGATTTCAAATGGAAAACATCTTTTATTTTATTCTTTCTTTGTTGTTGTTACAATTTGTTTCTGTTTTGTTTTGTTATATCTGAGTTACAATAAAATCCTCTCTCTCTCTCTCTCTCTCTCTCTCTCTCTCTCTCTCTCTTTATATATATATATATAGATATAAATAAATGTATATATAAGTTTGCCCTAGATGATTTGTTTGTGTGTTATTTATGCAGGTTCTTCATGACGGGTTACCTTCCCCTCGGTTTTGAGTTTGCTGTTGAATTGACTTACCCAGAGTCTGAGGGGACGTCTTCAGGACTTCTGAATTGCTCTGCACAGGTTTGTGTGTGATATTTAATGATAACTATGTTATTTCTAAGAGTTGTGTCTTATTTTGCATTGAGTTTTATATTATTTTAGAGAGTTTATATGGAGTTACCAGCAATCCTAATAATTGTGATTTCTTACTGCAGGTATTCGGGATCATATTTACGATCTGTCAGGGGAAAATCATGGACTCTTTTAATACTCTGGCCGGAAATCTCTTCCTGTGTGCCTTCCTGCTGATAGGAACCATCATTACAGGTGCAGATCGTTCAATACTCATTTGTTCCTCTTTAATCGAGTATTGAGCTTATATTTGAGGGATTGTGAAACTGTTGTTTTTTACTCTGGCCCTACTCTTGGTCTAGTTACTTTTGAATGTTTTGCTTCCTGGTGATGATAATGCTTCTTGGAAAGCATTGTATATTAAAATTCATTTGACATTATGAAAGCTGCGGTGTCCTCTGATGTTTCAGTTAATGTATGAGCTATTAAACACAGGAACAAAAACACTGGGTTGTGTAAATATAGGAAAAGCAACATTGTTTTGGGACGGTTACAGCCAGAATCCTTCTAGGTCCAAACACGGAGCCAGATGGGATTTCTGTGTCTCTTCACATTAGTTAGTTGTACATGTCAAAAGCTCCTAAAATGAAGGTCGATTTTAATCAAATGGTTAGCTGTGTTGTCAGGGCAAGCATGTTTTTCATAAATGCCAGGTCGGTGCTAGTTGGCACATGGTTATAAACTTGTATAATTACAATAATAATGTTGGCTGCAGTTATTTAAATGGTTGTTCCTGGTTAATATTCAGCTAATTTTCCGGGCAATAAAAGGAGTCCTTCATATAACATTTATGCTGCATTTATTATTGTTATTATTATTATTTTGCCCAAAGAACATCATATCCTTTTTAGGGTCAATATTTATTGCATTATTTAAATATTATAATATTTATAGAATTTTTAAGGGAGTAATATTTTATTGTAATAAAAAAATTATTTCACAGTGCATAAAAATGGAATCCATATAATAATAAAAAATAATTATTTATTTATTTAGATTTTTGAGGTGAAATATGACCTGGACATGTTCTTTGAGGGATTCATCGATTTTATATTCACAATTTAGATACTGATTAGATAGACTAGAGCGTACAGGTTGCAACAGTCATCTTAGTAGATTGTTTGGTGCATGTTAAATGTAATTATGTGTGTCTCATTGCATTTCTGTTCTTTATCTCAGCCTGTATTAAGTCTGATCTGCGCAGACAGCTGGCAAACCAACAAGCACTGGCAGCCGTAAGTATCAAACCAAACGTATCAGCAAAACATTTACACAGTTGCACTTTACAATTACACTTTATACATTATATGTGTTATATTGGTGATATAAAGATTAAGATTTACATGACCTTCCCATCCAGCAATAAGTTCATATTTTGTATTTTCTGCTAGTGTGTGCCTCTTGTTTGTCAGATTGATACAACAGAAATCATTTCATGTCCACTAACATGTGCTGCAGATACTAGAGAAAATGACACTCCTGATGTTTCTATCTCATGTTTCTGTGTTGTTGTGTTTTAACCTGAACTTCAGTGTTCATTCAAAGGTGTTTTTGGTTTGATAGCTGTTGTTTCAAACGTCCACAGCCAGGAGCATTACCATGTTCTGCTGATTTTCTAGGGTCTTCTGACGAGGCGCTTTTGAAATTTTTATTGTGTTAAAATTCCAGCACTGTGATTGGATGACACACGGGAAATACTCTGAGAATCATACCAGCTCTATAAACACATTTCATCCTGTTCTTCACCATCAGTCCTGCTCATCTTTACACGCCATGTCATGTTTTCTTGATCCAAGCATTCCATTCACTCTCTCTGTTTTCCCATTTGATTGTCTCTCTCCTCTCATATACACTACACTATCATTCAAACGTTTGGACTCGGAGTTGGTACGATTTTATAAATGGTTTTGAAAGAAATCTCTCCTGCTCACCAAGGCTGCATTTATTTGATCATTTGATTATTTGATTGAAATGCAATAAAAACAGTAATATTGTGAAATGTTATTACAGTTTAAAATTTACTCCAATTTTCAGTGTCACATGATCCTTCAGAAAGCCTTCTCATATGCTGATTTGCTGCTTAAGAAACATTTCTTATTATCAATGTTAAATACAGTTTTTTTTTGTTTTTTTTACATTTATTTTAGTGTTTTTGCTTTTACACCGCACACACAGAGCAACGACAATTAAGAAAAGAAAAAATATATAATTACAATGATAAAATAATTTTTTTTTTACAGAATAACAACATTGAGGGACAAATGCATATAAAGACAAATTCTAATTTAACTAGTCAGGTAATGCGTAAACAGGATACAAATTCGTAAATGTTGTAGAATGACTTAGTCCTGTGCATATATATTAAAATAAAATTTAAATACAGTTTTTTTTTGTTTTTTTTACATTTATTTTAGTGTTTTTGCTTTTACACCGCACACACAGAGCAACGACAATTAAGAAAAGAAAAAAAATATAATTACAATGATAAAATTTTTTTTTTTTTACAGAATAACAACATTGAGGGACAAATGCATATAAAGACAAATTCTAATTTAACTAGTCAGGTAATGCGTAAACAGGATACAAATTCGTAAATGTTGTAGAATGACTTAGTCCTGTGCATATATATTAAAATAAAATGACAATAATTGTACACATCAATGTTAAATACAATTGTGCTGCTTAAATATTTTAATGGAAACCATGATAATTAATTTTATTTAAAATAGAAAGGCAAAAAACAGTGTTGATTTGAAATAGAAATCTTTTGTAACATTGTAAATGACACTTTTGATCAATTCTCAGTGTTCTTGGTGAATAAAAGTACAAATTTCTTTCAAAAAACTGGAAAAAAAAACTCATTCCTCTTTTCCACTTATCCGGTTCTTCCTTTCCATTTTTCCACTTATTCTATTCTATTTTCCACTCATCGTGAATGGGATGTTTTTAACTCAACCTCCTCTGATCGTCTCATTCTCTCTTCTAGTTTCCTATCTGTCCAAATCCATTCATGTTTACAGATCAGTGTGTGTGTGTGTCTACAGGCAGCATTGGGCAGGTCAGACGTTCAGGATCACAGTGGGACGTCTCTCCTCCCCTCCACACACATGTGATCAATCAATCACTACCTGATTTTATTGCTCACTGTGGTTCCTGTGGTTCAGGCACACGCGATCAGCCCTTCTGATTCACGATCGATGAGGCTCATTTTAATTACCGCTTATACCGCTTATCAGATGTGCTTTTGATTCTCTCTCAGAGTCCAATGTTCATGATTTTTTGCCTACTCTGTCTGAACGCTTCACCCTTGAGCTTTGTACATGTGTGTGTGTGTGTGTGTGTGTGTGTGTGTATTGTAGTTTGATGTTCCATGTGTACTAACATTTAACCTTCATTTAACCCACTAACATACTAACTGCAGATGTGTGCATGAAACTGGTTTGTGGCCAACAGGGGGCGCCGTTTTACTGTGATGTCTGTTACTGATGATGTGTTTTGTGTTTGCAGGGCCCTGTGGAAGCGTCACCGGCACAAGCTTTTGAAGCCAAATTCTAATGTGATCACGAGACTGATCGTGTAGCACAATTATCTTTTATAGTTTTTTTATCCTGCCTTGAATTTTGATTTATTTTTCCTTTGGGACTTTTGAATCACGCTGTATTGTGTGTGTGTGTGTGTGTGTGTGTTTGCTGTAGATTGCTAGAGAGGGAGAGA